ATTAAAATTTTTGGATGAACCCTAAATCAGATGGCAGCCAACAGGAAAGCTGTTCCAGGACCAACAAAGCGGGTTGTAACAGGAACATCGCCACCTTGTGTAAATCAGATTAAGACAAAAACATGTGATCTCATAAATGTGCATCATCCAATTTACTAAAATTTACTGTCCAAAATGACAAATGTCTGATGCAGACTAGTCTGAAAATGCTGAACTGAAAGTGTAGAGGCACTCATACATTCAAACACACGCATTTGCAACCATCAGCACTTCTATCAGTTATTCATGGCCAGTGATCAAATCTCTTGCATCAGCTCTGCCTCTGGGTGAGAGTGGCTGAGTCTTTCATTCTACCGTGATAATTAATTTAGCAAGAAATGTTGCCGTCTCATACACACACTCGACGAGTTGGGCTTCATTGTGGCATCCCCTCCTTTAAAAGCCTCTGCTCAGTTTGCCATCGCTTTACACGCAACAGCTGTTTTCCTGGCTCAGCTGTCATGGGCTCCGGTATCATGTGAGAGGTGGAATGGAGAACAGGAGGGAGGTATTGTGCTAAAGTTAAGCCTCCATCAAAATGCAAATGCCAAGATGTAGCTGTTTGCATCTGATAATGTAAAAAAAACGTAAAATCTCATTATTAAACACTAATGAAGATAATATAATTAAATTATTAAATATAGACCATCTAACACATTTCATTTGGCGGCCATCTTGGTAATGCCCAAGAGTACTGTTTTCTAGTCGCACAGCTACTGTCTGCTTGAATGGAGAAAACTATAGGCTAAGGTTACATTTCAATAACTTATTTCGGAAACAGTTTAGATTAGGGAACACTATTCACTATTAACTAGTTGTTTATTAGCATGCATATTACTAGCATGTTGACTGTTTATTAGCACTTATAAAGCACATATTATTGCCTTATTCTGCATGGCCATATTTTAAATCCCTTACTTAAACTTAACAACTACCTTACTAATTATTAATAAGCAGCACATTAGGATATTATTGAGAAAAAACTCTTCTTACTTAAAGGGATAGCTCACTCAAAAATAAAAATTCTGTCATTAATTACTCATCTTCGTAACACAAATTAAGATATTTTTGATGAAATCCGAGAGCTCTCTGACCCTCCTATAGACAGCAAGGGTACTACCACGGACAAAGTCCAGAAAGTAGTAAGGACATCATTAAAATAGTCCATGTGACATCAGTGGTTCAACCATAATTTTACAAAGCTACAAGAATACTTTTTGTGTGCAAATAAAACCAAAATAACGACTTTGTTAAACCATTCTTCTCCTCCTCCTTCTTCTTACCGATGTCCTTACTGCCTTTTCTGTAAATATTGTTATATTGTCATATAGTTAGCTTCTTTAGCTAAATTAGGCTTTAGGATTAGATTAGGCTAAAATACTGTATTTTTTCAGGTTGTTCTAGAAAATGTGCATGTGTGTCTCTTTTAACTGAAAGGTGGGACTTTTCTCTAGAGCACTTCCACTTTGATCTGAAAACACAATAACTGCATATTTTCATATTTTTTCCTCAAGCAAAATGATTGGTGAAAATCCACGGGAAGCATATTATACCATATTATTCTGACAAAGTATAGGTTTCATTATCTGGCAACATGGGTTAAAATATAGCTTGTCTGGTTGAGCCACACAAAATTACAAAAGAATCCAAGCTAGTAACTGATATAGTGGCATTGAGAGTAAAAATAGTTTTAGCTTTTGATGCTCGAATTTGCTTTTTTCAGATCCTCCTCTTCTCCCGTTTCTCACCACATATCAGATAACAGAGACATTTATTTTCAATAAAAAAAAGAAGAAAATATACAAAAAGCAGAAACAAAGTGCCAAATGGGTATTTTATAAAGACTGTAATTGAAACTGGATGTAATGTCATCATTTTGATTTGACAGGTGGTACATCGACCACATTTTTTATGTTTTTTTAATACGGTTATGGCTAGGGCTGCACGATATTGGAAAAAACTCACATTGCGATATATTTGTTTTCTGCAATATGTATTGCGATATGAAAAAAAAAAGCAGATGACTTCAATAGCTCTATTTGGGAAAAAAATCAATGATTGGGGTGATTTTGTAGGCAAGTAAAGTCTGGGCAGCTGGGTCCCACGGCGCATTCTATTTATGACATACTGACACGAAGTTCAAACGATTGGCAACGGTGGCTTTGTTGCGTCTAGTCTAGACAGAATGTGGGGCCGTTCACATGTCGCGCCTAAAAACGTGTGGAAAACGCCAGCCGCACCGCTTACTCCTTCTTTCCAAAGCGCTCGGGTCGCGATATCGATGCTGAAACGATATATCGTGCAGCCCTAGTTAGGGCTGTGCGATTAATCGAAATCGCGATTTGAGACGTTGCGATTTGCTAATCGCAAAGCCTGCGATGTGGATGCGATATTACTCTGTTCCAGAGCATATGCATGACTTCCAGCCCTGAGTTGCAGTCTTACTTGCCCTGGGCAAGAGTGAGCGCACATCCATTCTCTGCACTGCTCTAGCCAATTGCGTAAACACCCACCATAAAATTTTTTTTTTTAAAGCGGACGGGAGAGAGACAGAGTGGGATTATGGCGTCTACTGGGTCAGATCGATAGTTAGGCAAATTAAAACTAAAGAAAACCGTATGCAACTTAAGCTTCGAAATGACAGACAACGAACAAAAAAGGTAATTTGCAAGAGCTGCGTCACAGCGCATATCAAAAGCTCCCTTATCGTTTCTGTTTTCAGTACTGGAGAATAAAAGATACATTCTTAAGATGTTTTTGTTAGTACGTGAACGTTATCTTACACATTTTACCTCAGATAAAGTACAGATTAATTTGAAATAAGTTTATAATGCATGTTGGCTATTCCCAATTCAGAAGAGCGCACACACAGCCTGTGTCTGTGAATGCTTCTCATACTCGCTCCTCTCTGCCCCTCGCGGCGCGAATCCCGTGTCACGGACGAGCTGTTCATGCTTGCCGCACTCACGCAGCCTGTCTCGCAGCGCTCGTTTATACTCGCACCCGGCTCCGCAAGTCTTCACAAGCGCATCTGGCAGTATGGATTGACGCACACGCGAAACCTGTGTCGCGCCTGGCTCCGCGTTTAAAACTAATGTAAATTCAGTCTAACTGCTTGCTAATTTCACTTGGATGAAATTAAACATTCAGCACATTTTCCACTTGTTCTTAAGATCCCAAATACTTAAAATGAATAAATCAATGTAATACTTTAATAATTGACTTAAGAAATACAGTTCTTTATTTATAAAAAATAAATAAATATTTTCTGTGAAATTCAGTAATTAAGTTAATTCTATAAAAGTAGTTATACCATTATAATCTTGCCTGCTGAACCCTCCCCCAATAGAACCCCTCCCAAAACACAATAACAAATTTTATGGATTTCAGGGTTATAATGGGAATTTTTTTGGTTTTAATGTAAACTATAATAGTGTCTATTTGATGGATTCTATTGCTGGGATGTAATTTGGCAGATGGCAACCAATAGAACAACAGTAATTCCTATTGGAATAATGCCCAAAACAAAAAGGAATTTTGTAATGGTTTAATGGAAACTATAAGAATTTCTGTGATGGTTTCTATTGTTTTTTTCAGCAGGGTAATGATACCCATACTGTGCTACACATTATTGACAATATTGAGCTGAAGCTTGATTTTGCTAATTTAAAATTGCAAATCAAATCGCAATATCTTTAAAAAAAAATCGCAATTTGATATTTTCCCCCAAATCGCACAGCCCTAGCCCTAGTTATGACACAGAATACATCAGAACACAATGGAATATGTCAAAAAAGGCAATATAGTTGTTTTGGATTTTAAGTTGTGGGCTGCTTTTCATTTCACCCACTAACTTCCCTAAGCACTTCTCTTGAGGGGAATCCCTGAGAAAGAAGTTTCTGCCGAAATATCCTCAAACTTTGAGTCAACTCATTTGTATGCTTCAGGCAGATCCAACTCCCAAAATGCAACTTTGATTGTGACATCACAGAAAATCTGCACTGAACCTGCACCCATTGGTTGTAAATAATAAATCAGATTCATAGTGGGTTCCTAGTGATCAAGGGTTTAGGCCGCTCTGTTTCAGCAGGAGTGGGCACTAGAGCATGTTCGTGAGACGTAGGCAGGTCAGCGAAGTGAAGGGCATAACAATTGTGGAACGTAGCCCTGGTTTGGCAGATGAGCACGACCCGGTCAGCTGGTAGATCAGGGTCAAAACTGTGACAATGGTTTGAATTTCACACTACAGCGCCACCTGTCTGCGGGGTATGTTTCAGTTTTCTTCACTGCTATGTTAGGATCACGGCAAGTCAAAAACCCTATGATGTAAAGAAACCCCACATCAGAGCTTCAGCCCTCAGAGGAATGTTACAGACTTGGATTAGAGCACAGGAAATGAGTGAGGAAGTCAGGCTTCGCCCAAGGCCAGTGGCTAACGGTGTATTTATGAGCTATTCACAGATACAGAAGGAAGCTCAGCACGAAGAGACATGACGGATGTGTGATGTTTCTATACATGAGCAAGATAGGGATGTGCACCATTCAGAATCGAATTGAATGCCATTCAAACTCCTGAATTTGAATTTAAATAATGCAGTGAGCAGTTTGTAGAATTTAAATTTAATTAAGTAGAATTAAAACAAAATTAAATTGTAAATATTTTTTAAATGCGGCAAGTTAATTTTTCACAAATTGTTTTACAATTTTCGCCAATTTGTTGGCTTATCTTTTTTGATGGGCGTCTTATTCTTTAACAGTATTGAGTATTGTATTAGAGAATAAATAGACATAGTCAGTCAAAAAAAATTATAATTTTGTTTCTCCACTGACTGCTGAATTTCTTTTCAATTATGTAAATGCCTCTTCCTGTGATTCCAATTCAACATCCTGTCTGACGAGGCCAGTTAGAAAATCCAATTCTGAATGTTGCCCAACCCTGGTCAAGAAAGACTGAAACTCACTCTCTGGCTGTTTCTCATTGGGCGTGATGGAGCGCACAAAGTCCTGTGGTGTCATGTACACCTCCGGGTCTCCGTGCTCACTGATGATCTTCAGGGTGGCAAAGTAGCGAAATATCTTGTCTGGGGTGGAGTAAGCTCTGATCCGGTTCTCATACTCCATCACCTGTATCACACACAAAGAAACACACACTTACAGTCAATATCAGTGTTGGAAACTAACTACCTAACTTTCTCTTTTATACTACAGTAGTGTGACAGTAGTTCAGGTGTTTCTAAAACTGTGTTGTTTTTACAGTAACAACAAGCTACTTTATCCAAGTAGCGTAACCAAACAATAATATATATGTATAATGTATATATAATGTCCTGTCTCGCTCATATAACATTGTAATGAATCATTTTGGGTAAATGAATAGATACATAAAATTATTCACCAATTCAATTGTTGTGGCACAAAAGTAAAAAAATTTTATAGCAACCGGTTCTCATACTCCATCACCTGTATCACACACAAAGAAACACACACTTACAGTCAATATCAGTGTTGGAAACTAACTACCTAACTTTCTCTTTTATACTACAGTAGTGTGACAGTAGTGTGACAGTAGTTCAGGTGTTTCTAAAACTGTGTTGTTTTTACAGTAACAACAAGCTACTTTATCCAAGTAGCGTAACCAAACAATAATATATATGTATAATGTATATATAATGTCCTGTCTCGCTCATATAACATTGTAATGAATAATTTTGGGTAAATGAATAGATACATAAAATTATTCACCAATTCAATTGTTGTGGCACAAAAGTAAAAAAATTTTATAGCAAAATATTTTAACAATATAATTTTAATAGTTAAAGGTCCACACTGAAGTGCCTTGAAACACACACCGTTATTCTATGTGTTAAAGGGGTCATATGATGCGATTTCAAGTTTTCCTCTCTCTTTGGAGTGTTACAAGCTGATTGTGCATAGATAAGATCCCTGAAGTTGCAAAGACTAAAGTCTCAAAACCAAAGAGATATTCTTAAAACATGTCAACATATTCTGTTACACCAAATACACCAAATAATTTATTTAAATAATAATCTTTAAAAAAAGCATCATATGACCCCTTTAACGTCATTTTAACTGAAACAGGAAGACAGGGCGGGAAATATCAAGCAGCCCCGCCCCTTTTTTTTAAATAGCCAATAGTCAATATCCATATTGCTATAAAACGTAAAATAGTCATTAGTGGAAAAGAAACTACCTATGCAACCTATATAGCCCTTTGTGATCAACTTTATCTTATATAAGGCTGCTTTGAATAAATAATATAATACTAAAATATAATAAAGCATGCTAGATAGACATAGCCTGCCAAGGCTGGTCATTTACATAATTAAATCTAACCCTCTGATCATTAGAATAACCTGTCATTATGGCTGTCATATCAGCAACAATGGCAAAACGGCAGCCAATTTTGTTTTGAGTTCTGAATCAAGAGCAGCCTAAAAGTTATTAATAGCCTGAGCATATATTAACTGAAATCTCATCCATTGCAGGTTGGCTATGAAAGTAAAACTCTGTATAATTTATCTTGTGCATGGAAATGTCCAGTTTGTGTATATTTAGACAATAACTGTCAATCACATCATGTGATCATGTGAGAGTGACTAACTTAATTGAATGGATTGCAAAGAACTGTGGGCTTATGTTCAATTATATGAATGAATTATATTTGTGATGTATATTCAATAATTTTTTTGGCCTCAATGTAATATTTTAAATGATCTTTAATCAGGGGCATTTATTCATCATATCATGCCATTAAAATGTTTAACTGATTGACAACCATTAATTGAGACAATTTAAATTTTAAATTACAGCCATTAGTGCAGTTTGCATCTCTTATTGTGATGGATGCATCTGTATTTTTGAACAAAGATCATCAAAATGAGCAGCAATAGAGGTCAGTTTCATCATTCTCATCCAGCCTTTGATGATGCTTCCTTTTCCACTATCTGGCTGTCTTTTGCAAATGCCCATTTTGCGAGTGACTCATTATGCAGGCTACTGTAGGCTAATTAACGCAATTTTCTGAGTTAATTGGGTGTCGGTTTGCGTGCCGCTATTAGACAACAGAAGTGATTGTAATTGCAAGATGGAGTGATGATAATTTGGAGTTTGGGATACTGCCTGAATGCCTGCAGTAAGTGATGCTTGTAATGTGAAACTGTACTTGTCAATCAAACCCTGAAAGTTCTGAGGTCACTGCGTGCGCACCACTGCTATTTTTTTTATTTTTAGTTTATACTTGCGTCAGAAGAACATACTTGGTCACTGCATTGGGCCTCACCATTATTTCAGGATTTTGCACCATAAGTGTTGTGTTTTTAAGTAAAAAATTGTTCAAGTGCTAAAAACTCATGTAGAGCCATTGCCTAATAGTGTTTTGGAGTCCATTGACTTTCAATACATAGACAAAAATAGTCAAAACTTTCCTCAGAATATCATATTTTATGTTCTACACAAGAAAAAGTCATACAACTGACCAAGTCTGACTTTTCTGCCATTTTTCCCCCAAATTCTCAAATCTGACTGTGTATTTGAACACTCTATTCATCTGACTTACAGATTTTGAATACTATATAAGAGGGAAGTACACATTATTGAGATGTGGAGAGGGTTTTATTGTGTTTATTGCTCACATAAATCTGACAGATAACGATACACGCACAGATTGTCTTGACAACTGCACAGCAACTCTGAAGCAATTTAATTTACATAAAAATCGATATTAAAGGTCATGATTACATGAGTTTGCATTTACAATGAGTTACATTTCATATCATACAACAAACACTCTTCCAGCACATGAGCATGTGTTATGTCAAAGTAAAAGCTGCAAACTGATCCAGGCAGTGAAGCAGGCGGCTCAAACGTCTCTAAAATACTAATAGGAGAATATGATGCATGCTGCCTGTCTGTTTAATGAGAGCAAATGTGCACAACTTGCACACGGGTAACTTTTTACACCACTAACTACCATCTGTATGACATCATTCATACAGAAAGAGACTATTCGATTTTTAAAAATCCTCGACTTCATTTTGCTTGCGTCGACTAACCGGCAAAATACCGGAAGTGGCGCATTTTACGGACGAGAATCCATAAAACACATTATTAGACTGTTTCCCAAGGCTGCATGATATATTAAAGTCATTTAAAATCATAATTAAGCATAATTGTGAATTCACAAATGCTACGATTTAAATAATTATATGCGATGCAGTTCTAATACAGTATATGCGCTTTAATTATTTACATGCTTGTAGGTTAAGTAGGTGCGTCACACAGCGGCTCCGTTCACAGTAGTTCCACAGGAACTGTTATCATTTACATGTGTGGAGCGGCTCAAACGCCATCTCTCCATGTTGTTGTGAGTTTGGGTTTATTATAACGTTCATCTGGGAACGCAACGTGCACCATTTCATCAGATTTGTAAGGTAAATCATTTAGAAATCTACGCAAACAGGAGAATACATCGCGGTTTCAAAATTAAAGCTCAAACCCTCACTCTGAGTTTACACGTTTTGATGTCCACATATTCATTTAATTACAGTGGCTATAGCATTTCTGTCCTAAAGAAATGGCCAAATATTAAAGATTAAGTGGACATTTGAATTAAATGGTGCTTGGTCAATATTAAACAAGTATTAGATCGCACGGTAATGTGTAAAAATAATCATCAGGCGCCTTCTGCAGGACTTTGTTGTAATTCGTAATGTACATTAGCTATATTGTTTATAATACATTATGTATTTTAACAGTTTTGTTCAATAAAATTACAATTTCTTGCTTTTGATACTTTATTTGAACTAATTATTATTGCCTCATTGCTATTATATATGTATTTTAAGTAATTTTAAAGGCTATTGTTCACTTGCATCTATTTTTATTACCACAAAAACATTTATTATAATTAAAGGGCCCTATGAAATCCGTTGTATTTCCAAATTAATTTTTTTTCCATTTTCATTTTTCTATACTCTGTTTTAATGGTTAAATTAAATTTTATTAATCAAAAAGCCTGTCTAATTAATTGAGTTTTACAGTTTTATCTTTACCAAATTCTGTTTTCCATTATTTTCTGGATTCCATTTTAATTAATACTAACTGGATTCCAGCATCTCCAATTAATTTAAAAAAAAAATTACGTATTTTTTTCAGAAATACTGCACATTTACATTTTTCTCCTAAATAAATTCTGGTAAATAACATTTCTGGTAAATACTCCTTTAAAAGGTGTTTTTTGATTATAATTTTATTAGTAGTAGACTAAAACACGTGGATATGTTGTCATTCTTACACTATAATACTGAAATTTGATTTGAACTATGAGATGGACACTTGCTTCTTGCACTCTATGTTGCACTTTACTTTTGCTTTAAAAAAAGGATTTCATAGAAATTTGGATTTCATTTGGTTTAATAAAATATAGTTTAATAAAAATATTCTTAAGTAAAATTGTTGATTTTTTTTGTGGGAAATTAATCGGTAAGATGAACCGATTAATCGATAAATTAGTCGATAGATTATCGAAATAAAAATAGTCGTTAGTGGCAGCCCTAGCTATGTGTCATAGAAACAGGCAGGTTGGCATCTAACTGGCACCCACAGTGGGCTGGCAGTGATGCCAGATGACATTGGCACACCAATGAGGGGAAAAGAGAAAAAAAACGCACAAGCACCAAAGCAAGGACATACTTAGCAGCAAACATCACACACACATTCACACAAAAGGCACTTTCCTTGATCTTTTGAGAGTTTGCTGTGCTATAAAAAACACTGGCTGTTTTAAACCCTGTGAGACATCTTAAGGAAATGGAATCTCATAAGTGATTCCGAATCCTTACAAAGGTTTCAACACAATGTATCATACAAATTGTATTGTGCACAAAGGATACACGTGTTGAAGCCTTAAAATTTGGCTAAAGTAAGGTTTTACAAATATGGAGGAAGCAGACAGATACTAATATTGCTAAACAGCAGATCTAGCAATATAAGAGTAAAATGCTGTCTGTTAAATCGGTTAACTTGAAGCCGTTTCTGATTGTGTAGCACCTGCCGCTCTTTAAATCTGAAGGATTCCAGCAACAACAAAAAAAGGCTTCTTTTTA